TAAACGAGGAGCATACCGACCAATATCCCTAGCTAACAACATATTAAAAGTTTTGGAAAAAATAATATGTAGACGCATGGAATGGTGGGCTGAGAACTGCGGCCTGATTCCTTCGTATCAGTTTGGATTTCGCCGTGGGTTATCGTGTACCGATAACATTTCTGTCTTAGTTTCGCATATTAAGTTAGCCAACAACTCCCGTCAAGTCACGGGCGCCGCGTTCCTTAATATCGAAGGAGCGTTTGACAATGTCATTCCTTCTACTCTCCTAGGAATTCTGCGAAAACTCCAATTTACTGACCGAGTGATCTCTTTCGTTTCCACAGTAATATCCCACCGGTCGTTGTCGGGCTATGTGGCTGGCCGTCCCTTTCAGTCTCGAAACACTACACGAGGGCTACCACAAGGCTCCGTCCTAAGTCCACTTCTGTTCAATTTATATATGTCTTTTCTCGACTCGTGCCTTCCACTTCCGGTAAAAATTCTAATGTACGCAGATGACATCGTCATTTATTGCTCCCACCCTTCTATCGCAAACATAGCACGTCAACTTAATGTGGCCCTAGCAAACCTTCATGCTCATCTCAATGATCTAGGTTTGCGATTGTCCCCGGAGAAGTCTTCAGTTACTTTTTTCTCTCTGAACCACCTCCGCAATATGAGATGGCTCGTTCACCGGAATAACATTAGAATCTCTCTAAATAATGTCAACGTTCCCATCACTTGGAAGGTCAGAATTTTGGGAGTCGTCTTAGACTACGCTCTTAACTGGGGGTCGATTGTGTATCACGAAGTCTAGTAAAAATCATAAAAGTGAGCAAATTTACTAGTTGTTGACCAATAAGATCATAGATATCATAGTAAATTTGCTCACCTTTGTACTTTTCACTACACTGCGTGATACACAATCGACCCTCTGGAAGGCTCATATTACGGAAATTAGGAAACGCGTTCTCCTACGTGTCAATATACTGAAGGCTATTTCCGGTATACGATGGGGTGCCCACCCGAGTATTCTGGTAACAGCNTATAAGGGTCTGGTGCGGTCAGTCTTAGATTGGGGGTGTCAGGTTCTTTCTCCTCTGAAGGAACGCGAAGGACTTGTCCTTGATAGACTTCAGTACGTATGCGCCCGGCTGTCCTGCGGCCTGATGCGTACGACCCCTACGAACGTTCTCTTGGACGTAATAAACGAACAACCACTTCAGTGCCGACGAGAGTATCTAACTCGCAAATACATTCTTAAATCTGCAGCCAGAGTTAACCACCCTCTTCGGTCAATCTTTACGTCGATAAGCCCGCAATGGGTNCCCCTGTGTGAGAGCAACAGGTTTAATCTGTTTGACCTGGCTTGCCAACTTACTCGGGAGATGACAGAGGTAGAACCTTACGTCCTGCCTGGGGCATTGCCCTTCGTGTATTCCACTCGCTTCTTTCGCTGCAATGTAAACACTGAAGTTGGGACCGCAGCTAGTACTAAGGACGACCCACAAGAATTTTTCCAAAAAGAGATAGCGACATTTCACATCAATCATGTTCTCTATACAGACGGATCGAGGAGAACAGGACACAATCCTGATGATCCCTCTGACTCCAGTGTAGGCTTCTCCGTTGTTTCGGAATCACTGCGTATTTACAAATCTTACCGCATCCACAACTTATCAACTATTTTTGACGCCGAGGCTGAGGGAATCCTCTATGCCGTTAACTGCATACAATCCCAACATCTTCCAGCTTGTGCAATTGCTACCGACTCTCTCAGCGTGTTGAGTTGCCTCGAATCAGCAGACCCGCATGGTCTATACCCAGCAATAATATATAGAATTAAACAGACCGTCCGAACATTGTTATTAGAACACAATATACACATAACGTTTCTGTGGGTCCCGGGTCACAAAGGCATCCTGGGGAATGAAATTGCAGATGAGTATGCAAAGCGAGCTCTGTCTGAACCTGAACCGGGGTCTGAACAAAAATGCCCGGTCCGCTCCTTTTTCCCCTCTTTAAAGATACGCTCACTTTTGGAAGCGCGACGTCTCCTCCTGGAGGAGGCTCGCCATAAAGGCAGCCGGTATTTTACCTTCAAAAAAGAGGTCCTAGACCACCCGTGGTGGGTAAAAACCAAACACAAGTTATCACGTGAACTTATCACATTTATAACGCGCCTCCGAACCTTCCATACCAAAGTTGGCGCACATCTGTTTGAGAAAAATATACTAGACTCCCCGCTATGCCAGTGTGGCCTAGCGGAGCAGGATGTCGACCATTTATTTTTCCATTGCCCTTCACAACAAGGGACATCGGACAAGCTTCTAATAGATTTATTCCACTGCGGCTTCAGTCCGCCTATTAGCATTGCGGACGTCGCCTTTTCAGATAACATACGAGCAATGCATGTACTGTTATACTTCGCAAAATCCAGTAATATCATCCTTTAACAACCTACCTGTTATCCATTCTATATCAATCCTTCATAATTAGAACACCCATGCGTGCAGTATATAACTTACGAAAGCCTTACTCCAATATAATACACAAACATACATCTAAACTCCAATCACAAATCTTTCAAATACGGAGCAATTTAGCCAGCGAGTGGCGTATGGACTAACCCTCAGGGTCCAAGAGCCATAAGTGCACCAAGACCAAGACCAAACCTTCCTAACCTTCAACGTACCTTTAACAGTTTAAGTCGCTGCTTTGCGAGACAGAATGATAATTTTTTCTGCGAAAAGTTTTTATTTTGTGATAAAATGTGCCAAATAAGCATAAATTCACTTATATTTGAAGTGATAGATATATTCTAAATTAATAATATTATTGTCCGAGAATGTTGTCAGAAGTTGATGTATTTATTAGTAATTATACCCTGGTCGACCCTGAAATCTATCAACTTTGGGTTGATGGCCATTCCTGTAAGTCATATTTTACTTATCTCTGTATGTGTGTAATTCTAATGAAATAATAGAATGGACGATATTTTTATATGTTTGTTTAGCTAGTGAGGCTGTCAACATTCTGCACCAACGAGGAATATGTCAGCAGACTAATGCATCACTCGAATTGGTTGCTTCCGATATATTTGATCATTATCGTACTTATGCTCTTCTTGAGAAATTACTTCATAGTCCTACAAAGCTTGCTAGTGAGCAGCTAGCCTTTCAAATAGAACCACAAACTAGTCAAATGCTCATAGAAATGTGAGGAGAATAATACAAACTCTTGAATTGTTACTTTCTTGTCAGATCAATACAAATATTTATTTTTGCAGGTATTATGAATTTGATGATGTAGTTATACGTGAATTACTGGGCAAGAAGATAACATCCAAAAGCAGAAAAGACATGGACGAAGTGGCTGAGAAGACAGGAATCACATTGAAGAGTTGTAGAAGACAATATGACAATGTAAAAAGAGTGTTCAAAATTGTTGAAGACTTACCAGGCTCTCTCACAGCTAATATCAAACAACACTTTTTACTTTCTGAAGATCTTGCTAAGTACAGTACAACACCTGACAGACACTATTATAAAATACAATTTTATGAAACTTTTCATAAGGTCTCTCTTTAATTACTTTTAATTGTTTTACAGACGATATGCAGCAGTAGTATTTCTGGCATGTCTGCGATTTGAGATGAATAAGAGAAAATTGCAATTCCTCACGTTTCCTGACTTATATCATTGTGCAAACAGTATGATGGCATCGTGGACATATCGCTGCGTCGGATCTGAATATTTTGATACTGATTTGGACAGAGAATTTCTGCAGGAATTATCGGAATGCAGAATTCTTTTAGAAAACGATAAACATCACAAACAGTATGTTACTAACAACTATGTCGTTTATTCGTAATTGCAATCAAAATGAAAATAAATAAGACTTAAATATATTTCAGTTTAGTGTGTTTAAAGCTCAAACCAATGCTTCTCGATCGATCTTATCAAGAACTGGATGTAAACTTCCGTTCCTATTCAAGAGCAATACTAGGAATTGGAAGTAACTTGCACAGGTCACGAGAATTGAGATTTTTTTTTTTGGAATTGGTAGAAAGATGTATCGAGCCTTGGCGACAAGTTAATTGGACCCATTCTGATCTACGGAATTTCTTATCCGTTTACACACAATGTGCTCTTGATATGGATGTACTTCGGTAAGATTAATTAAATATATTACAAGCTTTTATTTTTTATTAAAATTATCTTTGATATTGATCTTTTTTACAGAGAAGGAGAATTGAGAGATGCATTCGAACGTTATATGGCTGTAGTGACGTGTTGTCTATTACGTATGTATCATACATAAGTACTACTTATAAAAAGAAGTTAATATATGTTCTGTTTTTTTTGGAGAAAATATTGTACAAAAGAATATATTGAATAAATTATGTATTGTATTTATAAAGTTTCTTTAATAAATTATTATGTAAGGAGTTGGGAATTCGGTAATGAGTAAATTCTTGTTCTGTTGAGTACTAAGAAAGTAATTTTAAATTATATATGCTGTAATAAAAAAAAAAAAAAAAAAAAAAAATGAATTGCAAACGCAGTGTCAGTGCGAAATCGTTGCTGATCAAAAGTTTTAAGAGAAAATAAACGAAGATATCTTCGTATATATATACTATAACCATAGAGAAGACTGAGAGCGTCCCGGCCCATAAGAGCATAAGAGTTTCTGCGATAGCTTAAGAAGGTACTGGATACCAACTATAGACACCTGTAAACCGACGTTTCTGAGAAGTCTTCTGGTGTCATATTTACCGGATAAAATCCAAAATGCTTCTCCAGAAATAAATAAAATGTGCCAAAATTCATCGCTAGCTACTTGTGGTCGTTGAAAATAAGCATAAATTTTCACTGATACAGTTTTCTTCTATAACCTCATTATATATTCATGTGGCAGAATTATTTGTAAGCTTTTATACGTATTTAAACTTAGCTAGGTGAATAGGAAAAGCGACGGCACGGAAAGTCGGAAACTCCAGGTTCGACTCCTGACCGAAGAGTTTTTTTGCAATATTTTAAAATTATTTAGGGAGTATATGGGATCTCTCATATATGAGATGCAAGTATGGCATGATATGAATTTATGAATTGAACAAGGAATATAACGTTAAATAAGATCAATATCGAGCAAAACCAGATGAAAGTAAAAAATACAATATTTAATTATAATATATACAGTATATATTGCGAAACGTTTCGACATTCACTGATGTCCTCTTCAGTCGCGATGTAGATAAAGTATATAAAAGTTAAGATGTCATGGTGTGTTATTTTAGGCAGGTGATCGTACCTCGTGAATTGTTCCTGTCGTGGAATTGTTTCTGTCCACATGTACGGTTGACGTTAAAGTTCACATAGAAAACTCACAATAAACTACAATATAATACAATGTATGAATAAGCTTACATATGAACGGCAAAGAGTCAAATGATAGGCAAAGGCAATAGACAAACGTATTTATAATCTATTATAATAGAGGGAATGGAACACAATTCGATAGATTTAAGTTTTAGATAAAGTCATCTTTTTTAGGAGATCAAAGTAAGAGCTATTTAATGATTCTGTGTCCGTGACTAAATTGAGATGTTGTTGTTTTTTTATATGAATAGTCTCCGAAATTATTCTTTTATAAAAATTCAATTCTTTATCTAAAATTTTTATATTATCCTAGTCAAATGAGTGATGATTATATTGTAAGCAGTGTTGTGAAACAACTGAGAGTTGAGCTGTGTTTTTCGATATGTTATTTGCATGTTCTTTTAATCTAGTTTTTATTTGTGTCTTGATCTGACCAACATAAGACGCACAACAATCTTTGCAATCGATTTTATAAATCACATTAGTATTAGAAAGATAAGAGGTATCATCTTTGTGTGGACCCTAATTAAATTTAACCTGTTGATCTGTAACCAGTCAAAATGTCCGTGTTATGAAAGGCTCTTTTCACACACTCAGATAAATGTTTGATATAGGGAATACAACAATTTTTTTAATAATTACTGTCGTCCTCCGTACGGACGTTCTCAAGATAGTTTGATTTTAGCTTTGACGAAATCAATTTCTTAATTCTAGAGTTAAATCATAAAAAATAAAATCAAGAGGATAACCATTGTTTAACAAAGTATTAATACAAAATTTTAAGTTTTTTTCATGGAAGTCAGGATGAGATAATAATAAGAATCTGTCAACTAAGCTGTAAATTGTTCCTCCCTTATGACACAGTGGATGATGTGATAGAAAGGAGAGATACTTCTTCCAGAAGAAGTTTCTTTTTGGTGCCAGTCAATTTTTAAAAAATTGTCAAAGACGCGAATCGATAGGTCTAAAAAATTGATATTACGGTTCTCTAATTCCACAGTGAATTGAAGTCTGTTGTAAAAAGAATTAAAAACTTTAATACTTTTGTCGACTAATTCAGACGGAGCAGCTAAAATGATATCGTCAACATATCGGTAAAAGAAAGGAGGTTTAAAATTTAACAGACTTAAGGCCTTGTCTTCGATGTCTTGTAAAACAATATCCGCAATCCGTGTTATTTTTAATGTGATGCCATCTATTTTTAATGTCAGTAATAGCAAGTCCATTGGGACGTTCATGAACAACGAAACCACATCAAGTGACATTAAGACGTCAGAGTTGTTAAGTTCAATAGAAGAAAGTTTTTTATATAATATAAACCTATTACCGACATTACTCCTTGGTGTAGGAATGCTATTGTAAACAATTTTATGTAGAAATGTGGCAAATGTATAAAGAGAGCTATCGACAGAGGAGACAATAATTCTGAGTAGAGTATCCACTTCGTGTGTTTTAGGAAGGCCGTATGCTTTAGGTAGTAACTTGTCTAGATTTTAGAGAATTCAGTTTTCGTTGATCAATATATCCATTATTATATACCAACGCTTCAACAAGTCATTCAAATCAGATTCTATTTTTTTGACTGGATTACGCGTCACAATTTTGTAGGTATTAACATCACTCAAAAGACCCCTCATCTTTTTGATATAATCTATTCTATTCGTAGCGACCGTGGTATTGCTCTTGTCTGCACGCATGTAAATAAAAAAAAACGAAGTTGTGTGATGTTTAATTAAGTCGGTCCAAATATATTGAGGAAGCAAATTGGAGAATCTATGAAACAAGCATGATAATTTTCATTTTAAATCATGTAATATTCTGTGCAGATCAAAGATTTCAATATTTAGAAGTTTTATCATAATATAATTACTTTTACATACAACTTTTATATACTTTCTGTATTTCGCGACTGAAGAGGATATCAGTGAATGTCGAAACATTTCGCAATATATACTATATATATTATAATTAAATATTGTATTTTTTACTTTCATCTTTTTTTGCTCGATATTGACCTTATTTAACGTTACATTCCTTGTTTTTAACACGAGCGATTTAATACTTTATCTTTTATGAATTGAAATCTCAATTCAAAACTCACGTGTAAGATTTACACGTGAACACGTATATATGTATGTATATACACGTATATTTTCCGCACAACATCCATCGAACGGCTCTCATGACCGACAATACATTTATTAGTTTAGAAACTTCGGACTCTAATAAAGATTCTTTAATTAATTAAATACATCACGTCCATGCTCGCTACACGTGATCTTGTCGTTTTTCGAGACTTGAACGTCAAAATAAGAAAAACATCTCTTGAATAACAATACATGCATACTTTACATATTGAAGAAATTTTAACATTTATTAAATGTTTATTCTATCTTTTTTTTATAATCGAGAATAAAATTTTTCGCAAACATCATGCTCGCGACTAAACAAAACTACGATTCCAATAAAATTACAGAACTGAGAGAAATACTATTACTTCGACAATGTAATGAATCTTAAATGTGTAGAACAAATAAATTACGGCCATCCTTGTTACGCATGAACATGTTTTCTCGATTGACGTCAAACATCTCGGCAGTCCAAAAATGCATTTTTTACATATCACGTATTAAAATGTACCGTTAAAGCTTAACTTGTTGAAGCTTACTATTAAACCTTACGCAAAGATTGATAAGTTATCACCCTTAAGTCGCTACTACGCAACATCAGTTAGTTGCAAAATTAATAACTTTTAAACTAAAAGAGATGGAGGAAAACAGTTTGCACTAGCAGCTAAATACTTCTGACGCTGCTCGCTAAAATAATATTTTTTCCTGACTATTACATCTTTTCTTGAATATCACATCTATGTGGAAAATTGCAATGTTTTTGCTTATTCTTTTCTGTTTTCTTTCCTCATCTTCTCATCACGTGACCGGTCATTTTAAATTCCAAAAGAAATCAAATCCATGCTCGCGAGTAGCAATTCGTCAATAGTGATATCTTCTTCCATCGTATATACTTGTTTCTAATTTAAAAAATTTCTGATTAAATAATTTCTGAGTAAAAACATTTGACAGATGTTATTTTACGTAATCGATCATCAGCTGTATCATTATTTGCAAAATGCAAAAACTTACTAATTTATACAAATCTGATCAATGGCATAGTCTTTTCGAATATCGGCATTTCTAACGGTTCTTCTAGACCAATTTATTGGAATAGTTGGTTTCTTAAGTTGTGCCATTATACATAATGTAAAATATGTTTTTATTTCACCACAATTTACAGGGACCCAAGTCTCGTTGATTTTTCTTGCTTTACTTTCATAGCTTATATACTACCTCGCGCAGAAATTTGTTTCTGTTACAACAATTTCCTAAAACGTACTGTCAAATATTGTATTAAAAAAGTCTAACTTTCCACTGTTTTCATCTAACTGGCCTAACTAAACTAGACTAAAGTCGTCGCTCTTATGCAAGAAGTCTCTGTATACTTCCAGATCTGTGTTTGATTAGATTTTAATTGCCAAATCCATTGTTCCGATAACTGATGGCTAATATCTTCTTCCTCATCGGTATCGTCTTCACTAACTAATTGTTTCACACGTTTTCTTACAGTAAATAGATATACTATATCACTATCGTCACTATCGTCAAATATGGTATTATTAAAAACATTCAAATTGTTATTCATAATGTTAGCTGTTTCACTATCTGAGATGAAGTCAGAACACTTCTCAGTATTTTTATTAAGTTTTCTTTTTGACAACATTATATCAGAATTTCTTTAATATATTTAAACACAAACAGTAAAATATTGCTCGACAATATCGCGGCCAGTACAAAGACTGGTTCTCAGTTCGGACTTAGAAAGCGTGTCACGTCTCTCGCACGTTGTTATACTGCAAGGGGTAATAACACGTAATATGAAACTTTACAAAGTGAGCGAAAAACAGTTTTTATTAAACATGTGGCAGTAGATTGAAATACGCCTATTATTTTAGCTATTTTTTTAACCAGAAAATATAATTTAAATCCAATATGTAATTTTTAATAAGTGTTAGAATTTGTAATTAAAATGCATTTGTCTCTACACATGATTGAATATATATGCTCGGTACTTTAAATAAAATATTGCTACGTACATATTAAATATTAAAATATATATTTACACGTACAGAGAGATACGTTTTTATACCTATAAATTATACATTATTTTGACTACTGTGTAACTCCTAATACTTTATTGACAGCGTATACTATATCCTTGATTTGTGGCAAGGCTGCGATCTCTAGTGATTTTGTATATGGCATTGGTGTATCAACTCCCGTGACGCGGATTACAGGTGCATCAAGATGAAAGAAGGCTTCGCCTACAAGAAGATAAACCAAATTTAATTCAGCAGAAAAGAAAAATATATCATCTTGGCGTACAAGGAGATCAACAATAATATAAAAACAAATATAAATCAAAGAGAAATAATAATATGGCAAATTAAAGAGCTTTGTTATAAGTGCACGATTTACAAAATGTTATTTTTTGCAATGACTATTTTACTTAAATCTGTAGAAGGATTTTCTTTATTTGAGATCAAACTGAGTATCCAGTAATTCTTCAAATTAAGAAACATTTGTGCAAGTTGTGTAAGTTGTGATGGTAACACGCACATGTTACACACATTACACATGTATATCATACTTCTTATTTGTGGTATATTATTTCTATTTGAAGATTTAATAAAAATAAATAAATCTAAATCAGAATATAAATTTGATTAAAAATCTCGAAAACAGAATTATTTGCTATGTATCTATTGTTTTATAATATTGTGATGACAATATAGGTTATTATATTGCTATCATAGCGGATGAAAAAGAGTTAAAAAAAAAGAGCATTATAATATCCATTTTCAAAAGCACTATGTAGTTTTTTATATTTATTTGTTTCTGTAGAAACACTTGTCATATAATGCAGTAAAAATAATTCGAAATTAGAGAAATTTAGGTTTTTAAAACGTTGATTTAGGTCTTTATAGTCGGTATCCACTACCCTCTGAACTACCGGCTCAGTGGTCTCGCGGTCTGAGTGCAGGAGCTGCGAGCCCGGAGGTCTTGAGTTCGAATCCGCTTATTACCTAAGAATTTTGTCTGGGTCGGTCCCCTTCAACCGTGTTTATCGGTTGATCAGCGAACTAAATCGAGCCTCCAAAAATTAATCCGGGTGTAATTCCCCTCCCACAAGGCGATCACAAGTCACAACATCTCGAGCACGAACCCGACACAAATAGGCACGCCTACTGCGAAGGACGGCCGTGTATCGCGTGGTAGCAGAATACTGCTGCACCTCCCTCTCCTTTATGTTCAAAAATAAATAAACTAGTAGAATGGCGTATGGGCACTGATAGCCTCTTAACCGTTAGAAAACCAAACCTACCCTCTGAACTACACAACACACGTGTTTGATACTTTCGATATACTTAAAATATAAATAAAACTGAATGAGAAAACTTACTTTCGGCAATCCTCGCGCTGACTTCTGCACCGATACCGCATTGTGGCCAACCTTGCTCAACAGATACCAGATGTTTTGTCTTCACTACGGACTGTATTATCGTGTCTATGTCCAATGGTCTGAGAGAACGAAGGTTTATCACTTCAGCTTCGATTCCTTTTTTAGCAAGCTCGTTGGCCGCTTCGAGAGATTCTTCTACAGCTTTGGAATATGCTACCAGAGTCACATGATTGCCTACTCGTTCTATCTTAGCTTTACCAATAGGTAGAACGAAATCTTTGGACAGAGCCTCGTCAGACATTGGATACTGTACACCATACAGTATTTCGTTCTCGAGTACTACTACAGGATCAGGATCTCGAATGGCTGCTTTGAGTAAACCTTTGGCATCTTCACTGTTGTAGGGTGCTACTACTTTTAGACCAGGGCAGTGACTATACCAAGCACCAAAACACTGAGAGTGTTGTGCACCGACACCCGCAGCAGCGCCGTTAGGACCACGAAATACTATTGGCACATTGACTCTGCCTGCAGACATGTAAAATGTCTTGGCAGCTGAATTAACAATCTGGTCAATTGCTTGCATTGAGAAATTGAATGTCATGAATTCACAGACTGGTCGCAGTCCAGCCTATAAAATATTAATTTAAAAGGTTATATTTAAAAATAAGCAAATATAACAAGTGTTTGCTTTAAACATACCATAGCAGCTCCAACAGCAATTCCAGTAAAACCAGCTTCTGTAATAGGTGTATCAATAACTCGTTTGTCTCCATATTTCTTCCAAAGACCTCGAGAGACTTTATATGCACCATCATACAAGGCTACTTCTTCACCAAGAAGAAATACTTTTTCGTCCCTTTCCATTTCCTCGTCTAGAGCTGAGTTTAAAGCATCTCGCACAGTCATCTGGAACATTCACAAGAATTTGCATGAAAAATTATTGACTTACTGTTATTTGCATCTTTTAATTATCCTTTTAGTTCATTTTGATAAATAATCATAAATAAGAAAAATCAAGAAGAATAGAAAAATGCAAGAGACACTTGTCATTCAAAGTGAAAATATTTGCAATAACTAGATATATTACAGCCGATATTTATAATTCGATCTCTTATATTTAAAATCGTCTTAAATCATTTAAAATGCTGTACGAGCCGTTCTACAGAGCATTTGAAGATGAACTTAAGACGATTTTAAATATAAGATTCAACTATAATATTGGCCTACGTTTTTGGCAACGTATGGAGAAAATCAAGTTTTGGGTTAAGTCAGTACTAAAGTAAATTACCTGCTGTGCGGCTACCCGCTTTGATGTGGAAAACGAACGTCGGCTGACGGTTCTTATCACAGTCTAAAACAAGCACCTGTCATTAGAATCAAAATAAAAATTCGAGTTTTAACTTCTTTTGTTTTATTCAGATCAATGTGTTCCACTCAAGTTGCAGTGACCATCATTCACTTTCTACTTTTGCATTTATAAACTAAATATGCAACGTTTACTCTTAAGATAAAATATAACGGAAATTTAACAGAGTAGGACACACGTTTTTTATGGAACTTCATCGAGTTTTCTGAAGCTTTTACCGTGAGCATGGTAGATCGTTGAGAGTGAACGCGACTCGACGAAGTTTTATCGGAGGTTTTCTTCTCGAGGACGATTCTTAAAGGACTCTTTATGTTCGAGAATCCACGTCTTGCAGTAGAACACGTTCTGTACTAGTGGAACCAAGAATTGCCAAGGACACGAGAGATGTCTGAAAGTGTTATGAAACACGCATCGTCCGATACGAAATAGCGCGGCGTGACAGTAACCAGTCCGAACCGTGAATTACACAATCGTGCAATGTTGATAAAACGATCATAAAAATGATAAATCGATCATTCGATTCTGTTACGTACACATGTATACACATATATTTACATTACGTACACATATGTATACACGTAAAGCGATTACGTAAATACAAAATTGTTCTACCTAATTCAAACGTCAAAACTCAAGCGTTTCAAAATAAACTCTAAAACAGTGTATGCGTTATTTTAAGTAATTTGTAAAATGGTTTCAATAACCGTTATAATCCATATATATATTCATTGTCTATAAAATGTCACATAGCCTCAATTCTAAACATATACAATAAATATGCATACAAGCTTTCAACAATACACCTTGCAAAAGAGGAAAGAGCCGTGCTGAGCTCTACCTGCCAGCCGTGGCAGTAGAAAAGTGTAACAAGTAATAGCTTTCTTTCTCTCTCGCAAAGTGAATTATTGAAGGCCTCCGTATTGTATATGTGTGTGTTCTACTTGGCAGGTGAATAACATTATGTTTATCTGTGCATGTGTGATCAGCTTGCGAGTGTACAGTAGCGAGGTGCTCCACAAAGAAGAAATTGAGAGCGAATCATTGCTGTTGGCACAAGCGGAATTGGCGTAAAGCCCCTTGCACAATGGAAGGAATAGCGATAGCAATAGAAATAACACAGTTTTTAACACAGAATTCCAACTCGTCGGAAATTTTATCGCTATTGTTTATTCCGATTTTCTGATCTGCATTGATACATGTGTAGTTTTGTATGTTAGATTCCGCTGTTCCTACCTTTATTTTTAAATATCAACTCTTTAAAACTTTTATTATTTCTATCGCTATCGCTATTCCGTCCATTGTGCAAGAGGCTTAAGCAGGAATCCACATCCGTACACACGGCGTCAAAAATTCGCGGAGTAGGCGCGGGGATCGGAGGGCAAGCGGGGGGGTTGCTCGTAGCGCCAACGGGCGCCGTACGAACTAAGTAGTAGTCCACAACTACGT